TTTAGAATGCAAAATAATATATAATTATCTCTGTGGAACTAATATCTCATAATTATAAAAACTTATTTAAATCGTTGCAAGCTTAGCGTTATTTTTTCAAATTGAGTATTTATTATTATTATTTATTTATTGAGTATTTATTATTATTATTTGGCAACATATGTCAAAAATAAGATCTATTACTTATATTTATCAAAGATGTTTATTAGTCAAGGCATAAATCGTGGTAAGTATAATTACTACCAGCCTTGACCAATAAACATCTCTGATTAATTATATTTGTTTTCAACTAATTATTTTATGTTGCTACATAATTCCAGGTAAAATAGCTTCCTAATTTAAATCAGTTAGGATTTATCTTAATTTCTTAGGATCTATAACCTGCCTTCATGTCTTAAATCGTCTTTCTGTTTAATTATTGCATACAAATAAAATTCCGATTCATTAAGTGTGAAGTTTCTTTCATTAACAAGAGTTTCTCAGCGATGAAATTTTATAAAATCAGTAATAACTTTTAATGGAATTAAAAATTCTAGTTATTCATATCGAAAATATTCTAAAAATAAAAATCTCAGTTCTTAACATTCTAATGAAAGCAAGGTATTTTTTAGATTTATAATGATGAGAATTAAATATAAAAATTTAAGTTCAGTTTAATTATAAGCCTGTCAAGTGGACATTTAAGAAGGCATCCTTAAAGTTAGCGAGACGACGAAAGTATCCCTATTGCAGTGACATCACAAACTGCGTGCCGTGGCCTTGAGTTAGTTCTAGGGGGTGTTGCTTTAGCTCATTATTTTCATTCGTAGCTTTTGCGAAAAATAAGAGATTATTGATGATTTCATAACGGGTGCTTGTGTTTCTAATGACTGTTAAATCTGGATGCTGTAGATATGAATAAATGTTTTTAAATACTGGATCCGTTTTTAGTTCAGCATAGTATCTCGAGAATCTTCATCTAATATAATGCGAGAAAGAGCATCAGCAATAAAATTGTCTTTACCAGGTGAATGTTTCAATACTAAATTATATTTCTGCAGCTTTAATGCTCACCTAATCAATCAAGGTGACATGTTTTTACCTGAGTAAAGACTAAGAATAGCTACGTGGTTAGTGTAAACTGTTACGAATAGCTTCCTGAAGTACACTCGGAATTTTTGTACAGCCAGTAAGACAGTGTTCCTTCCGTAGTCATATAATTCCTCTGGGTAGGGTTTAATGTCTTACTGAAGAAGGCTACTGGCTACCCCACTTGAGATAAGAAAGCTCCTACAGCAAAATCTGATAAATCTGCAGATATTTCAAGCTGACCTTCTGGAATCCTTAGCACTGGTGCTGAAATTGATGTTTTTAACTGTTCAAATGCCGTATTGGCTTCTGTTGAGAAACAAATTTTTCTTTTTAGTGTTAAGAGAGGCTCAGCAATATGTGTGAAATTTTTAATAAAGGACTTGTAATATGAGCACATTCCGAGAAATAATGCAAGTTCTTTTACAGTATTTGGCTGAGGTTAGTTTTTTATAGCAATAATCTTTGAATCTTCAGTTTCGATATCTTTAGCGGAAATTTTATATGCTAAATATTTTAATTCTCTTGCTGCGAATTTACACTTGTTAGAATTCACTTTAAAACCAGCATCTTGTAAAACTGTTAAGATCTTGTAAAAATATAGAAATGATATAAAACATTTGAAGAAAAAGGCTCGTCTATTGTATTACTGGTAACAATAATATGCTCGTCTATTGTATTACTACTATTGTTAAATATGCTCATCTGTTGTGTTACTGGTAACAATAATGTCATCTAAATAGATAAAAGGGGAATTTCTGAGCACTGGTCAAAGAACCTTTTACCACACATATAGTGGCACTTTTACCACACATATAGTCTCACCTTTTACCTGCACATATAGTGGCACTTTTCCAATACAAGCACACCGTATCCATTAGGCTGCAATCATCCCTTAGGCCTTAGGTGTTGTATAACCCATAGCATCTGAAATGTCTATGGCTCATGCAAAAGTAGTGGTGCCACCACGTAAACCAAATGGCATACATAAAAATGCGTAAATGCCAGATTTTATAATATTGTTTGCGCTGACTTGAAGAAGTCCATATCTGAAATAACATTAGCTTGCAAATTTTTAAATACAAAAAAAAAAAAAAAAAAAAAAAAAAAAAAAAACATTGCTCACCTTTTACCTGCACATATAGTGGCACTTTTCCAATACCAAGCACACCGTATCCATTAGGCTGCAATCATCCCTTAGGCCTTAGGTGTTGTATAACCCATAGCATCTGAAATTTTGTCTAAAAATTCCCCCCCCTCAAACTACTCTGTCCTCCTGTGTCAATTAATGGGATTGTTGGCACATTGTTTAAAAGAATTTGTATTTTTGATAACTCTAAATTTTTTACCACCACTGTATGTATTTGGGAGGAAGTTTTCTCTTCTTTCCATCGTCCCTCAAAACTTTATTAGCTTCAGCTTTGGTTTCGTTTCTTCCTTCCACTGTTTATCTCTCTTTTGGTGATCGTTTCTTTTCGGCAAAAAATCTTTCTTGCACTTGAATTTTGCTTGCCGTTGTTCATCTGGCTTAGGCATGCAGAAATTTCTGTACTCTTGCCCTTACCTCTGTGTGCGGGTATTATTGGAAATGCGGCAGCTTTTGTAATTTGTGAGCAGCTCAAATAGAGTTTTCAAGGTTGGCGGGTTTCACATTTCTATAAATTCTTTATGATTGGAAAGGCTTTCAGGAGGGTGGTTTTGGAAGTTTTGATACATGTATGTTGTCTTTGCCTGGTTCTCCAAGTAGGAATTTGTCGATGCTTTTATACCAACTCAAGACTTGTTCTTGGAGAACTGAAGTTGAAATTGCCACTTTTTGGATTTTGCCCACTGGGTACAAAATGAAGTGGTTCATGAATGCTGCTGCTGAATCTTATCCATCAAATAGGCACTGGGGCCTCATCAAAGCTCTCATGACGGTAACAATATAACCAAATCCATAAGGTTGGCTTGAGTCACGGGCGCTAGGAAAGTGGATGGGGCCAGGTCAACTGTAGCGTTTTCCATGGTTCTAAATTGTTTCGGGCACCAGTTGTAGAGTTTATGCCTTTTTGGGTGCATTCACACTTGACCCTATGTAAAAGACTGCATAGCGAATTCTCTCTAAGTCATGAAGAACAGATACTACCGAAGAAGATTTAAATAACCTTTTTGTTTGAACTCGACTAACAAGATGCTGTCGGTGCTCACAATTCACCACCACTTGTGGCTAAACTCAGTTGAACAGAAAATCAAATGTAAAATCACAATAAATTTGGATGGCTAAATGACTAGCTCCTTAGTTATTTAAACTGCTAAATTGGCTGCATACAGCAAAGCCGAGCCTAGAATATCAATATAATCTGAAAGGTGTCTAACACCAACTAAGGAGCCAATTCAAACACGTAGCATAAACTGAGAACTAACTCCGCTACTACTTCTTACTCTTGAAACCACAGCATAAATACTGCTTCTGAACACTCTTAGATTTTGCATACTCCACCATTAAAATTTACATTCTTTCAAAAAACTGAAATCAGGTGGGAAAAGAAAGTCAAACTAAAAATAATTGGTTAAAATAAAATAAGGTAAGTGTGTAGTTAATATATGTATATGCAAGTAAATAGTTTTTGGAATTACAGGTCATCATTTTGCTTTGTGAAAAATTGCCAAATTGTGGCAAGGGGGTTGTGCTAATACCTAAGTACCAAAATGAATTAAATTGTGCAAGTTGGTGGATTTTGGCAACTTTTTTAAAAGGTTGCCATACTGTTAATATTTATCAAAATCACCAAACATTATCAGCATGTCAAAAGAAAACATTTTAGTAATTTAAAATTCAAATTTTAATTATTAAAATAAGAATTATGTGATATGTTAAACATTGTAATATTATATGATGCATTATTGTTGTTCTCATGAACACAGTGATCTGTTTTCACTTAAGAAACATCACAGAATTGCATGAAATGTAAAAATCATATTATATACTGCAGAATTCATCATAAAATACTGTCTTGCAAGTTCAGCTATAACTAAATTTTTTTTGTTGAGAAAAGTATTTCATATCTAAAAGGTTTTAATAGGTCTCTGTTAATGATTTGGTTGATTTTCAATAAAATTTTTTGCAAACTAAAATTCTTTTCATCAAAATTTGATAATCTTGTAGTATTCCATTAGCAGTTAATTAAAATAAACTTTCAGTGTAGTAACAGTTACAGGTACTTTCGAAAAGTCCCGTCGACCACAAGAGATGGCGCCAATCGTGGGAAAAAAAAAAAAAAAAAAAAAAAAAAAAATTACTAAATACAAAAAAATAAGAAATGTTCTATTCTCATTTTTCTTTCAAATTTATCATATTATCATTTATTTATATTTAATTTTTCAGTAAAAATTTCCATTATTTTTTATTAAGGAGATACACTGTAAAAGCAATTTTTCACTAGGCTTTTGGCTAGGCGCTATTTCATGGCCATTAACACATTTTTTTTTTAGGCAGGTAATATTCCATGACTTTGGGAATATTCAACAGCATGCTCTTGTGTAATAGTCAAGTCCCAAATTTTAATCTTTTTTTTTATTCAAAAGTGTGTGATAGAGGGGAAAAAAGAAGTCTTTACTCAAGAATATTAACTAACACGTTTAATCAAGGTTACACTAAACCCAGCGTGTTTGAAGAAGACTTTTCCATTTTTGGTGAAAAATCGCATAGTTTGGCATCTTTTCTTTAATAGGCAAAAATGGTCGACGGGATTTTCCATAAGTACCCAGTTACATGAGTATTTATTTTATAGTTTAATGAGTAGTCATCATTCTTAGATTATGCTCTGTGAGTTGATATTAATTATATATAAAACCATCTTTATGCTTGAAATTTTTTGTGTATTTTCAAGTTTTATCTTAGCATGATTTTATATTTATATTCAGTTATTAATTTTTATATTTTATTTCAGAGGAGCAGCTGATGCTGCAAAAAAACTGGAACAGCATTTGGCCCTCATATCCAGTTTCACTGAATTGTTCTCTGCAGAAGTAACAGATCTGAGAATGAGGTATTAAAAATTACATTTTGTGTATTGTAGGTTTTAATCTTTTAAAGTTTTCGAAAGCTAGTTTTGTGATATAGCATTACTAGAAACAGTATTGTAAAGTATAGTTGTAAGCAAATTTTTATTTGATTATAGAGTCTTGAGTCTATTTGGTCTAAATATGTTATTTTTCTTTTTTCATAAAAAAATAATAATTTTTTTCTTTTTCCATTCAAAAATGAATTTTTTAGGTTGAAAGATTACTGTGAGAGATTGATATTCGCTGATCCTGTAGAGTATGGGAAAAAAGCTGAAGATCTTCTTTGGCGAAAAGTTTTTTATGACTTTTTTTATCGATGTAAACAGAACAGAAAGGTAAGATCCTATTCATTCCAGATACTTCCTTTTCTGCATTATAGACTAACAGATAATGATAGAGTATGCAGTGTACTGCTTGTATTTATTTATTTATTTATCTATTAGATAGTATCACTGAAATTTATTGTTGTTTTAGTTATTTCTTTTTCCTGCTATTTTATTGCACATTAGCATATGAAAGCTACTGAATTTTTTATTATTCTGAAGCTATTATTACTACCTGGCACAATTATCATGAAGGATATAACTCCTTATTAGGGGTGCGCTGATGAGGATATGATTATCAAACCGTAACCCACCAAAAGAACATTACCAATCCTGCAGGCAATATTAACACTCAAACAATGGAATATTGCTGGAGGATTTTAAAACCAAATATTATAAACAACATGCATACTGCAAATACTTTGATGTTATTGCACAGAAGTATAGTAGAGATTTATTAATAAAAGCCGTGGATTTTTTTGGCCATGCTGCATAACATTCATAACATATATACAAAATGACTCATAAAAATGACCCTTTTATGGGCCTTTTTTATGCTTCTTGTTAGTTTATCTCATTTTGTAAAATTAGGAAGAATTTAAATCTAATGGAATTAAGAAAATAATGGATTATTAAATTAATTAATGGAATCATTTTCATTTATGTATTCTGAATTATTTGTATTTATTTTTATACAGTAAAAAAAGCATTTTAATAGTGCCATCTAATAAATAATTAACTTACTAAAACCAGTAGATCACATACTGCTTCATTACTGATTAATGGTTTAAAAAATAATGTGCACAGCAAACTGAAATTTTCAGAGGGTTAGTTCATTTAAAGTTTAGTGTTACAATTCTTCGAAGCTAACTAAATTCAAATTTCTTACTGTAGCTGAAATTTCATCTGTATAAGAGAGTATCATGACAATATGTTAACCCAAGGATGCCCAACTTGTAGCTAATGAGCTACATGTGGTTCTTGCAGCATTTTGATGTGGTTTGATTTGACCACATTGTATGTCTTTTCTCTTCTCAGGCTTGTGAAGTCAAGTGCCAAGAGAGGAAAGGAAATGTCGAATTCCAGTTATGCCATACACTGAAAGGTGCAGCCAGTATGCTGTTTTTCACTAGATGTTGTGTATTGCTAAATATCGTTTTAAAAATTTCTTGTATTGTAAATATTTCTTGTAGTACATAAATAAGTTTTTACGTACTTTAAAATAATTAATAAATGATTATTATTAAATAGTAAATTATAAATGATTATAATCAATTATATAAATAATAATAGTTAATTATAAATATAAGACAAATATTAAACTGAAAGGACTAAATAAATACAATTAATGTAAAACTTTATGAAGCATTTAAATACAGTAATTACCTAAAAATCTTTTTGTGTGTGATATACTTTAAAACTAAATCGTAAACTAAACTAACCAGTAAAACTAAATCGGCTAGGAGCATGAGAACTTGAATCAATTTTACACCACTGTCGAACACCGAAAAATCTTCCTCATTGCTTGAATCGACTTTTGAGCTTGATATACTGTGAACAAAGCCTTCATCAGACTCAAAACTTGATAAGCTATCTGTATCACAATCATAATCACCATTATAATTATCTAACTTTTGCTTTTGAGCCATTTTACTTTACAAACACCCTAAAAAAATGTGCCAAAATACGCATAAAAAGAACAAGGTAAAAAGAAAAATTCCCTCTCCATTATGAAAAGAAATTCATGGAACCCGTACTGCCATCTGTAGACAGTAAAACTAACTAAATTTTGTGAATAGGATTCCTTTGTAACATAATCAATGCAGAATAATAATTGCGAACGAGCTCAGCTCGTCAGCGCGCATTGGGGAAAAATTTCACTACACGAGTAGTGCTAATTTCTAATCATTTCGGTCAAAATCTTGCTTCTCAGCGGAACTCGTTTGCGCGCATTATGAAGCACGATGTGAGCTGAACTCGTTTATAACCATCAAAGGGTTAAAGAAGAAATGCTTGCTGTATCAGAGAATATTTTTTTAAGAAGCTAAAAATAGGAATTAAATTATGTCAATAAAATCATTTACAAAAATACATTTTCTTAAGTTTATGATGTGATAAATTAACAGGTATCTGTAACAGATATCTGTAATGTAGATCAAGTAAATATTTTTATATGGATGTTCTTTGCTCAGTAAAGAAAGATATAATGTCTGTTTTACCATTAATAGGCAATACGTGAGAGGTGGACATATGCCAGGGTATTAGAAACCATATAACCATTAGAAACCAAATTAATTTTCTGGTTCAAAAACTTGTAATAACAGATGGCACGCCTGCAGATGCTGAATTTCAATTTTTTTTTTTTTTTTTTTTTTTTTTTTTTTTTTTCTAGCACTGCATCATACATTGGCAGGCACTTTGTAAAAAAGTTTTACATTATGATGAATTTTTTTTCCTGAAATGCTCATGCCAGACCACTTCAGAATAGATTGTTCAAAGTGATTGATGAACTTGATGCTGATTATGGAATTTTAATGTTACATTCGGAAATTAGATGGCTTAGTAAGTGAAAAGTCCTGTAATGATTCTTAGAGCTTCTTCTATAAATACAAAGTTGCCAACTCTCCCGATTTTCGACCGCTCTCCCGCCAACCCGATTTACAATATATTTCTCCTGACTTTTTCTTATTCTTAAAATTTCTTACGATTTTTATGGAACTTGGATTAATACTTTGTTATATGAACAAAAAAAAAAGTGATTTTGGACGTCTGAAAGCAATTAATTTTTCTCTAGATTATATCTAAAACAAAACCTTGCGAGTTAGATAACTTCTGCTTTGTGAGTGAGAGCATATACGCATCCAGAAACGTCGTTCTCCAGTTCTCCAATGGGCATCGTGCTCCACTGCATGTCACCTGGCATATATTAACCAATGAGGACAAAGCAAGCTGTTATTTGGATGTTCTTTAATTATTTCGGTCATTTTGTCCTGAGTTTTGTGAGTACACATGCCTTCGGAAAATAGTTTTAGAAATTATCATCTTTTCTTATGTCCTGTGAGAAAGGTGAAATACTCGTGTACGTTTCAAAAATCATACACAGTTGACTTTCCTTGCATTATTTCCTCAAGGAAATGTAATAAATTTGCAATGTGTACCGCCTTCATTGCGATTTTTCGATTTCGCATGGTGGAAGGGCGGATGTTCTCAAACATGTGCGTACACAAAAATACAAGGACAACATGAGTTGTTTTGAAAAAAACGAAAAATTAAATTTTTATTGGGAAGCAAAAGGACCAAAAAGTTATTAATGCAGAATGTCTGTTCTCTGCCTTTTTACTGGAGCACAACGTGCCACTGAATGCATCGGATCTCGCTGCAGCTTTATTTAGAAAAATGTTTCCTGATAGTGAAATCGCTAAGAAATACTCAAGTGCAAGAACCAAAACAGGTGCAATTGTTAAAGAAATGGATTTGAAAAATAAATCTTCAGTTATTGATTGCATTAAAACAGCTCCGTTCTGCCTCTCTACAGATGGAAGCAATAATACTGATTCAAAACTGTATCCAATTAGTGTTTCTTTTTTTAATCCAGAGTCTTCAGAAAATGAGTGCAGTTTACTTTCTGTCCCCACTTTAGAAAAGCATTTGACAGGCTTTACTATAGCACAGCTAATTATTAAAACTTTAAAAGAAAATGTTGTTCCTCTGGATAATTGCTTAGCACTTAGTGCCGATAATGCACCAGTATTGGTAGGCTTGAAGACTGGTGTTGCAGGCATCTTAAGAAAGGAAAATTCAGATTTGCAGATTATGAGTTGCACCTGTCACCTTTTAAATTTAGCAGCTGAAAAAGGGGCAGCTTCTTTACCAATAAATGTGGATGAACACATTGTTGATATTTACTATTATCTTGAAAGGAGTTCTAAAAGGAAGGGAAAATTGAAACATTTTCAACAGCTGCATAACAGCAGTTTACAATTAGAAAACTTGGATGAAGTTATAAAATCAGCTAGGATTGACACCCAGTGGAGTTTAATTGGAAAACTGAAAGATGCTGATGGAATTTTAAAATATAGTGAACTGTATAGAATTATGTTGGCCATCTTGACAGTTCCATATATTAATGCAGAGTGTGAGAGGATTTTTAGTGTTGTTGCGAAAACGAGGACTAAATTTAGATCTAAAATTAGTGATGACACATTAGGAAAACTTTTATTAGCGAAAGCAGGCCTACGTGGCAATTGCTATAAACAAAATTATGAAGTTTCTTTGTTAAAGAGAGCAAAATCTGCCACTGTTTATAACATTTGTACGAAAACTGATTAAAGTTTTTTTTTTTTTTTTTTTTCCGTGTTTTCTTAAACGATGCAAATAGTAAAAATGTTTTTTATGTGTAAGGTATTTTTGTGTTGCTTGCATTTAAGAATTAGTTACTATTTAAAGTTAATTCATTATTAAAAACTATATTTTCATCATTTAAAAAAGTCTTTTTAACATTGTGAAAAATCTCCCGATTTCTTTAAAAATTCTCCTGATTTTTGAGTGTCATAGGTTGGCAAGTATGTAAATAAAATAGCTTTTAGAATCCAGAAATGAAACTTATAAAGATGTTAATGAGCATAGCTGGTTGTTTGATTCAACTTTTCTTACATACATAATAACCAAAATGTATAAATAAAATCTTAAACATCAAGGCAGAGAGTCTATTATTGAGTTAATAGAGAGTACAAACACATTTGAGTCAAAATTAAATTTGTGCTTATCCCAAATAAAGGAATACAGCTTTTGCTGCTTCATAAAGTTTTAGAACTACATCAAGAAATGGGAGAAACTTGTGACAGTTAAGTATTCTAAAAATCTTGTATCTTTTTTAGATTAATAATTTTGAAATTAAATTTTCTGATTTTCATCAACTTCAACCCATTGCTTTATTTATTTCAAATCCATTTGTTAATAGTAATATTTCTAAAATATTACTGCAGATTGTAATTTTCAGTGTGATTTGCAAATCAAAACAAGAATATTACAAACAGAATTTAGGACACTCATGAGAAAAAATATCCACTCTTAACAGAAAATTTTCAAAAATTAAGTTCCTGTTGTTTTGAATTTACATTTACAAAAGTGCTTTTTCAGCAATGAACTTGTAAAGTTCAGATTCAGGATAACAAATGAACTTTGCATGAATTTAGCCATAACGTAACATATGACAGAGTATGATAAACTTGCAAAGGACAAACAGTATCTTGTTTCACATTAAAATATCCTTTTCCTGTATTTAATTTTCATCTTATTGGATTTTTAATAAATAGTACTTTAAAGAGTACGTAATTGCCTTTTTTCTTTAACATATTGCACCACAATTTTTTGTATTTGTACATTATATACATTTATAATTGAAATATTAAAAGTGCAATGTATGAGGGCTATCCAGAAAGTAGATTACGTTTTGGAATAAAAAAATAAACAAAGTATAGGAAACAAATTTTATTATATACAGATGAAAGCCACACTCAAATACTACTTTTCTACATAGTCACCATACAAATTAAGGCATTTATCGTAGCGATGTACGAGCTTGGAAATTCCTTCGTCGAAAAATTCGGCCGCCTGCGCCTTCAACCACTTCGTTACCTCTTCTTGCAGCTGTGCGTCGTCATCAAAACGCTGCATAGCCAGCCACTTCTTCATTGCTGGGAATAGGTGGAAGTCGCTCGGTGCCAGGTCGGGACTGTACGGCGGATGAGGAAACAACTCCCACTTAAAAGATTCAAGAACTTTACGAGTGACATTTGCCGTGTGGGGCCGGGCGTTGTCGTGAATCAACAAGATCTTAGAGCTCAACATTCCTCTGTGCTTGTTTTGAATTGCTCTTCTGAGTTTTTGGAGAGTTTGGCAATACCTTTGAGAGTTTATTGTAGTGCCTCTTTCCAGGAAGTCCACCAAAATTACACCTTTTCTGTCCCAAAAAACAGTCGCCATCATCTTCCTTGCCGACATTGTTTGCATGCATTTCTTGGGTTTTTGGGGAGAACTTGTGTGCCCCCACTGCATTGATTGCAATTTCGTTTCACAGTTCACATGTTTCACCCATGTTTCGTCACCAGTAACGATGCGATCGAGTAAAGAGTCACCATCCTTATGGTAAGCGTCCAAAAAGTTCAACGCTGCAGCCATTCGCTGATTTTTGTGGTCCTCTGTCAAGATTTTTGGAATCCATCTTGCACAAAACTTGTGGTAACCAAGCTTTTCGCTGATGATTTCGTGCAACAAACTTCGCGAAATTTATGGAAAACTCAAAGAAAGTTCCGTTATTGTGAAATTTCGATTTTCACGGACTTTAGCATTGACTTTTTCGAGAAGTTCGGCGGTCACTATGCTGGGTCTCCCACTTCGATCTTCGTCGTGAACATTGGTTCGGCCATTTTGAAATCTTATGACCCACTGACGCACTCCACCTTCAGTGATAATGTTGTCCCCATACACTTCACGAAGCTGCCGATAGATTTCTATCGGTTTACAGTTTTTTGCAGTCAGAAAGCTTATTACTGAGCACACCTCGCAGCTCGCGGGATTTTCAATTAACGCAGACATTTCAAACCGTCACAGTATCTGAACGGAGCACAGCACGAACCTCTCACTAGCACGGCTAGATGCAGACTGAGCTGCGCAACGCTCTGACCCCAAGATGGCCGCGCTAGCCCCGCCCCTAGCGGACACAGACGGAAACGTAATCTACTTCCTGGATGGCCCTCGTATAATTGTGATTCGTCAAATTTTTTTTAAATTCTAAATTGGCTTGGGTCAAATTAAAGATTGGGCACCACTGTGTCAACTATTAGGAAAAGGCACCAAATAAGTAATATAATTCCCCCCCCCAAACTTGAAGTAGCTTTGGGATTAGTTATTAACCCTTGGGCTATTAATTTAATTTTGGCATTTTGCATGGAATCACTATAAATGGTGGTTCACTTTTCATATTGTTGCCACTCAAATATTAGAGCCCTTCGTTATGTTTAAAGAAATTAAATAATGAAGAAGCTGCATAAGTATATGTATGTTTCTCGCATTGTGATAACACAATGGTATCTCAATGATACATCAAATTTTGAATAATGTAATCCTGCACCCAAATATGGGCATCTGGAAGACCTAATTTGGAATTCATTTTATTATTTATTTCATATTTTGCAAAAATTTAACAAATTTTTGATTAACAAACTCAACAATTTCAAAGTGAGCAATGGCAACACTGTACGGAAAGGAAAAAAAAAAAGAAACTTTTTTTTTATCTCCAGCGCACGAGACTGTGTATCAGAAATTCTAAAGATATGCTGTTTTTAAATTATTTTGTGATATTGCTGTTGAATTGAATTTTAAGGTTTAGGTGCGGAGAACATGATATTTAATAAATAAAGGTAACATAAAACATTAAAAAAATGCCCCTTTATGCATAATGTAAAATCTGAAGACTTTCATATTTTTTTTTTTAAATTATATGTTGTAATATTGTATCATGTTTTAATTAATACTGTAGCGAACAAGCACTGAAGCAGTAAAGAGGCATATGAGTAAGCAAACACCCAAACAATAAAGAAGGCAAATTAAAAAGTTATAGGCAAAATTTATAATTTTAAGTTTATGATTAATTAAAAATGCAAGAAACATCAGTACTAAAACTCTTACATTTTGGGGGAAATCTTGTAATTTTTTTGTGCTGTCTTCTCGTGTACATAGAAGTCTGTTTTTCATAAAGAACATGGAAGAATTATGCAAATTTTTCATCTATACAACTTCAGCACAGTGTTACCAGAAAATTTTCAACTAAAGTAGCAAAAGCTTACATGACCTCTGACATCATCACAAATTTACTGTCTCTTGGTTCCGTAAGTTATAGACTATATTCGACTCTTAGTCTTTTTAATTACATATCTTAGCTTTAATGAAACTTTTAAAACTATAATTGTTCATTTTCAATTGTTTAAATATCCATTTCTTTTTTAATTAATTCTTGTTTAATTTAGGTTCCATTTTTAAATTAATTTTTGTATGACCGTTCTTAAGACATTCCTCACGTTTAGATTGTTAGCGCTTTTGTGCTAAATTTTTTTAGTTGGCAGTTAATTTCTTTAATTTATTGCTTTTTTTACTTAATTGTGAACATTTTAACTGATGAATGTTTTTCAGTGAGGCTTATTTCAGATTCTGATCACTTAAGAAAGCCTTGTTCTTTCACTTGTTGAATTTATTTGTGTTGTTATTTAGAAAAATGCTTTGGTTTTCGTCATTTCCATTGCTTAGTTCTCAGCAATATTATAATCAGAAGAATGAATTTCATTTCTTTCTCTGTTTGGGTGCACAGTATATGTTTCATTTCTGTTTGGGTACCCAATCCGCAAGTTCTTTTGTTCGATTCGTAATCATCATAGAACTCGAATGGTGAACTGACTTAAAAACAAAACACATGGGAGCCGAGGGAGGAAAGTGAGAGGTCCTGAAGTTTTTTTTTTTTTTTTTTCTTTCTTTCCCACTTTTTCCTCCTCGTCCTCGTTATACCGGCATCAGGCTGTGCAGCTTTGAAAAGCAAAGCCCACATGTACAGGATTGCCAGATGCCAACGTCTGTTTTAGCCTAAACAAACTATTTTTTTTTTAAATGTAATTTATTTTTAATTAATACATTATTTTAACATGTAAGCATTTCACGATATATTAAAAATAATCTTTGAAGTTGCAAGAAGTAGTGTAAGGAAATGATGGAAATTGCAAAATCACAAATACTAAAATTTTAGTAGCACAAGTTTGTCAAAAGTCGCAAATTTGCGAAAAATCGCACAATCTGGCAACACTGCATTAGCATTGCAAATAGACCAAAATAGACGTGTCCTATGCATATTCCCTTTTTGCCACATAAATACTTTTTGGCAACATTGAGGGTTGCCACAGAACTAATTTGGCTGCACACTGCTTTACCTTATGAATACTTTTTCATGACTTTTTGTTGAAAGTGCAGATAATAAGAAAATACGTAAATTTTTATAATATTTGATTTCAGGAACCTATCTGAATAATTTTATTGAACTTTGCAAACAAAAAATTCTTGAATTATTTGGACCAGTAAAATCATATGGGTTTTCTCAAGGTGACTCACACCAGCATAATGATAAATGCAAGCCTTATCACATATTAAATGTGATAATCATGTATGTGACCAACTGTTTTTAGTTATTTATTTTTTAGATTACATCACTAAAATTTATTTTTATTTTAAGCATTTTCTCCTGCTAATCGCATATTCAAATTGAAATTTAATAATATTAATAATAATAGTTTTGATGGCATCATGTAAAAAGTAAATAATGGTACTTGGTTATGCATGTGCCATGCATTTTGGCACATGTTAGGTGATGATTTGTTTGGTGATGACAAGGCAAGTGGCATTACCTGCCATGCTATATGTATGTGTTTGCCATCCATAAACTATTCTTATAAACAGAAATTGATTACAATTATAAAACATACCAAAATGTTTGACAGGTGCATAACAGAAAACCAACTAAAAGTAACTAACTAAAAGTGGTAGATTGCATACTATTTGATCACCAAAAGTACCTAAACTAACTAAAAATGGTAGATTGCATATCACATGATCACAAATTAATTCATAGAATTTTAAAATTAATTTTAAATGAAAAAATTGGTTTACGTGTATAAAATATTATTACTGCAAGTTTTTTAAAGTAAGTAATAAATATTCTAAATAATTTTTTGGAGCACATCTATTATATTTATTGCAGTTTTTCTTTTACTGTTTTAAATGATATTCCTTTTCTAGAAATTGCTGGAATCAGAATACTATCGAAATGCTGTTATAAGTCATTTGCTAGCTGGAATTGGGTTTTATCATCATATGCTTCTACGAATACAGACTGAATTCCACATTGATTTGGAAGGAAAAGTTGATGCTCCATTTCTCTGGCATTTGAAAGGGGTAAAGAAAGGTAGTTAAAAATGCATTTATTAAATTACAATATTGTTTCACTACATCGCAGTTAAAAATCTGTATTGATTCAGAATTAAAAATGCTCCTCCTGATTTAATCTTCTCATTTATCGTAGATTTATTTGCAAGATGCAGAATTCTGGGGTAATGATTTGTGCATTATGTGAAAGTGATTAATATGCATAGAAATCTGTGATAATATTTTGTGTATCATTAAAAATCTGGGAAAAGAAGAGTACCATTGGGGATTCATTGTTTAAAAAAAAAAAAAAAAAAGAGAGAGAGAGAGAGAGAGAACAGCAGATATTAGGATGCTAGTTGATTCTGCTTGCATCATATGAAATTTAGTATCAGTATTTTCTGATTATTCACACCCCCACAAAAAGTTGTCAACTTATTGACAATGATATAAATTGGTGAAAAATATTTGTTTATCTTTCATGGTTTATAGGTATTGCTCAGTTTATAAAACATAATAAAAAGAAACATTTTTCTAATCAAGAAATTTCGTGCAAAAAAACAATCACGTGTGGCTGATACTTACATCATCTTTACAGCAAGTGAATACTGTTCAAGCAAATCATGGCTAAATATAACACATATAATTTCACATGCACACAAACACATGAGAGATATGTGTATGCATGAGTTAGCTGTTGGCATCAGTATACAAGAAAATATACCCAAAATGGCAAATTTACGATATGTTGAAACTGTGGATGCAGATAATCAGAAAGTGCCTTAATATCATTCAAAGCATTAATCTTCTCACAAGCTCTTTCCTTAAAAGTAGATGTCTGTGGATGTTAAAAGAAACTAATTATATTTACATGCGTAAGCCACTTTAATGCATTAATTTTTTTATACTGCACTTTGATACAAGACACTTTATTTTATTAACAGTGTGTTTTAAAAATGTTCTATTATATAATTTGTTATTATATTTTATAATTACTGAATTTTAGATAAAAAAGAAGAGACAAAATGATATGAACAACACGTTGTTAATCTCGTAATATACGCCTGTACTTAAAAGAGAATTTAAGAATTTTTCATCAAGTTTTCCAACCTAAGTTAGGCTAAATAGGAAACAAGTTTTTCTGTAAAATATGCCATTTTGAAACCATATGTATTCTATATGCATATCCTAGCCTTTAAAAAGTGTGCCAAGAAAATTTATTATGCTAATATTTAAATTTAATATGCTTAATATTTAAAAGAGTTATTAAACATAATAATTTTATAATTATTATACTAGAATTTGTGTAATTTCATAAAAAGGTTCAGTGTTTTTATTTGGATATATCATGAATTAAAATGCATTTTTGTTTAATTTAATCAGATAAAAATATTATTATCCATGTGTTAGTTTTTTAAGAACCATGTGTTAGTTTACTTTCCTCATTAAGAAACATTCTTCACTTATGCAAATAAATCTTTTTTCATGCATTACTTATATAACACTGAGGCGGTATAACTAAAAATACAAAATTACTATGCCCACTTCATAAATATTACCATTCAAATCATCTTCCATGAAAATGCTCTCTCGTTGCCTCTTGGGAAAAATATATTTAAAATAAAATCAATGTGTTGCACATACATTTGGGCATCCTGATTCAGTTACGACTTCGAAACATTAACCCGCAGGAAAGCGTGGGGGGTATATCATACCCCCACAACTACATAAAAGTGGAATATTCCTAACTTGTGAAACTAAAATTCTGTGCTGCAATCCGTAGCTGTGTTTCTAGTTGTGGTTGACTTTCAGAATTGCTTTTTCTTTGACTGTGTGTTTCAGAAAAAGATTTATCGGTATTTTATTGGAACTGGGGTATGACACACCCCAGTTCTGGGTCACAACCCAGGAACTGGGGTTGCGCCTGTCAGCGTAAGTGTTTTTCTGACTAAATATTTAGTTCAGAAATTTATTTCTAGAGTGTAACAGTAAATATTTCTACTTGCAAGTGATTTTAAAGTACTTGACATTAAATTCTTAAAAATTTCTAACTGCATTATGGTAGAAAGAATGACTCCCTATGAATTGGAGTTGGCCTGTGAGATTTATTAGAAATATTTGAAAGTGATAAAGATTGCATTTCAGAAACTGAAGATGAAGCTAGGAATATTTTCTACACTGTTTTTGTTTCGCAAAAGGTAAAACATTAATTCCTAATGTTCCTAAAAAAGGAAAAACTGTTCTTATGCATTAAACATTATATAACGATCGTACTATAGCTGATACGATGATAATGTTGGAGAAAATAAAACATCAGGAATTATATTGTTTTTGATAATATGACTAAAGGAGGAGTGGATATGGGGAATGAAATGTCAGACATGTTAATTCAATTGCCAGAATAACAAGGAGGTAGTCCAATGGTAATTTTCTTTCCTGCCACTGAATGTTGCTGTAATAAATGCTTGAATTATATTACATTCAAGTGCTAATCCACCAACCAGAAACAGAAGTCTGTTTTTGAAGGACTTAGCATTACAATTAATGAAAAAAAGTATTGAACAAAGATCAGAGATTAATACTTTACCAAGAAATTGATGTACTGCATGCAAAACAAATGCAAAAGTTTCGACGAAGAATTAAAACAAATACATGAAATTTGAAACAACAAGTCTGAAAGATGTGATAAATTGCCCTCGCACTAAGGACAGAAGAACGTGAATGCAATGTTTAAAATGTGAAAACATTCTGTACCAAAAACACATGAATGTATTTCGTTCAAAGTGTAATGAAATAAAATAAGCATTGTGTATTAGAGATGCAATGAAACTTAGAGGCATGGTGTTTATTTTTTTTATTATTTTCATTTATCTTAATTTTAACTCTTAAGATTATTTTGTAAATTAATTTTTTGAAACCCAATTATTATTCACGTATTTATGATACACGAGAATAAGAAAAACAGCTTTAAAACAAAATAAAACTATTTTTATTGTATTTTAAATACTGGGGTATGTGATACCCCACACGCCCACTCTAGTAACTTTTCTTGGTGCAACTTCCGCCTGGTTAAGAACTAATACTTAAAAAAAAATTAAATCTATAATATTAAAATTTATAGTTTGAAAGCCTTTAAGTGGCATATAGATTCACCGTCCTTTCCTATTCTTTTTCCGTGTCTTAGTAATATATGGTGTGTTGTTATCGTTATCAACATCACTAATGTCCATCACTATCATCATCATCTTTCTCTAATTCAGCCTGACACTGCCATGATTTCAATTGGCTCACATGAGTTGCCATTCTAAAGAAATGTCCTTTGATCCTTATCTTCTAATTGACTCACTCTATAGGTATCACTTGGTAAAACTTTTGTAACTACCAAAGGTCCTAGATATTTTGGTTGATTTAGGTACTCTTCTCATAACTAATATTTCTCCTCATTTGAACGTTAAAAATTTGCTTTTCTTCTTGTCATAATTTGCTTTAATTTTTATCTGCATATCTTAATTTCTTTGTAGTTTCATTCTGTAAGATTACTGGATTCTCATATTCATTTGCATCTTCGTCTTTAATCATCCTCATCAATCTGTCGTTAAATTTTGGTGAATAACAGTGAAGCATTTTGAAAAGAGTTTTATTTGTAGTCTTATTTGTCATATTGTTTAAATTTCTTTTGCATTCCTTAATCTTTTTGTCCCAGTCCCTATTATTTGGATTTTTCATATTCGTTTTTAATTGTAGCCAAAATTGTTCGATTTGCTTTTTCCACTATTCCATTATCACTTGGATGTTGAGTTGAATTAAGCGTATGACTGATTCCGTCGTTTTCATAGTACTCTCGAAATTCCTTCGCTGGGAAACATGTTCGTCTCTATCGCTGATAATTTTTTCTGGTAACCCAAAATCATCTACTAAACTCATCAATGCAACTAACTCATACTTGGTTGCAGTACTTTATAGGATATAAGCGTGTAAATCTTGTAAAGTTATCAATTATTACAAATAATTCTGTATTTCTTCTTGAACTTTTTACGAATGGTCCTAAATGAACTACATGTGTGAATGCAAAAGGTCTTCTACCAGGTCTAATTGGATACATTACTCCTTGTTTCTTACGACTAGGCACTTTATTTACTAAGATTCAAAACACATCGAAATGTGACGCATAACATATCGTTTCATTCCTTTAAACCAGTATGACTCCTTGATTTTGGCAACAGTTCTATCTGCTGAAAAGTGTCCCAAAAGATTGTGAAACTTACTACAATACCTTTTCTCATCGACTTGGGTATGACATATAACAATTTCTCCTTCTCCCGATCTTTACGAAACAATCGATTATTCTTCAAGACGTAATTTTCAGTTGCATATTTCTCTGCATTCGTTCTATCATTTATCTTTTTCTTTAAAATGTGTATTAATTTGCATAATTCTGGATCTGAATGCTAAATCATAAGAATTTGTTCATCTATCGTTAGCAGTAAACAAACTTGCAAGTTGTTCTCAATTATCTTCTGGTGTAAAGTTTCTTCTGGTTGATCAACTGGCAATCAGCTCAATGCATCTACGTAATCATCTATGAGGATTTAAAGTTTACTTTGTGTTTAAATAAACTAAAGCCTGTCAGTCTGTAATTATCGTAAATCAGATTCCAATAAAAAATTGTCAAAGTCCAAACTACAGCCGAATTTGCTTGAATGATAATTCTTTTCTGTTTCTGTTGTTCCTTCACTTACACAATAAACTAAATGCCACTTTTTATCTTCACCTTTTTGCAGCAGCATTCCTACCAGCCCTTTGCTACTCGCGTCTATGTGCACTTCAGTTTCTGCTTCCGGATTATATAACACTAGTACTGGTTCATTAATGAAATGGTCATTTAGAATACTGAATGTTTCTTGCTGATCTTTGTTCCAATGAAATGTCCATCCTTCCTTGTCAGTCTGGTTAACGGCTCAACTTTCTCTGCATATTTCGATACAAACCTTCTAAAGAAACTTCTAAGACCTAAAAATGGTTTAACTTCATTGGTTAGTT